TACTTCGTGAAAACAAAATGGCGTCCAAAAAAAAAACTAGTAGGTTTCTGTAGCAGGGTTGGTCGCCAAAAAATTGCCAAGTTACCATAATCCGAAGATTAACCGAATCTTTTTGAATTCTGAATCTAACTTATAGAGTTCCCAAAGGAGTATCAAGGAGCCCTACAGTTCTATAGAACACAGTTTGAAGACCACTGATACATGATATGTGCCTTTTTTATTTTCTAACGTTAATGGTTTAAAAGTAGTTAAAATAGCAAACTTTGCTTGACATAGATTTTCAGCAAAATTCTATAAGTTTTGAAGACGATCAGATACAGGTCTCTCTTCCACAGACGCCCAATGTAAAACAAATAGTATAACTTAGCAGAAGGGCAGTTCACATAGCATCAATAATTAAATTAAATAAGAACACAGTAACAAATAAAAACCATTAAAATTCTCATACTAAACTTCCTACTTACTTCTAAAACTGAAGAAATTATTTTTATTACAGCAACACTTGTAAGCATAGTAGTTGAAGCACCTTTCCATACCATGACATCTCCGCATACCATAGCGATAGCATTATTCCATCCATATACAGCGACAGGAAAATTAAATGCTGTGATTATTCCAATAGCTCCAAGAGGATTCCACATTTCCAGAAGAGCATGGCCAGGTCTTTCAGATGGCAGAACCTTACCATCAATCATTCTCGATAAACCCACTGCATAATCACATATGTCGATATACTCTTGAACCTAAATCAAGTCATGTAATATTAAAGTGAGGTATGTATAGTTATTATTTGCTAACGATAAAAATCTTATTAAACAGTCTGCTAATTTTAAAATTTCCGGTTTTTTATGTATTTTCCAGAAAAATTAAAGCGAAAAATAAAGAAAATGGCTCACCTCTCCTTCACCTTCTGGCAAAATTTTTCCCATTTCCAAGGAAACTAATTTTCCCAGAGGTGCCTTTTTTGCTCGAAGAGCTTCTCCAATTTGACGAACAATTTCTCCCCTTTGTGGTGCTGGAAGATCGGCCCATATGTCCCATGCCTTTTGTGTAGCTTTAACAGCAGATTCATAATCATTTAAATTTCCTTGTACAACATCAGCAATTGGTCTATTGTTAGTTGGTGATATAGAAGGGACAACCTATGGAATGGACACATAGAATTTGATGAGGTCTAACTACATGATTTTTTGATTAGATATAAATGCAATACTCGTGATATTTAGAATTTATATTTTCATAGAAATTTTTATTAAATACAGTCAAAAGTCTTTAATCCGGACTTGTAGGGACTTTGGCGATTCCGGATTATAGATCATAAATTTCACTATGGTAAGATGGCATGCAGAAATTATAAAATTAAAAATATGAAACCGTAATTTATGAAATAAAGAGCAATTATGATCTAAAGGGTATCAAAATTTACAAACACAAAAGCTTAATATTTATTTGTTTACTTTATTAAACATTTCTTTCAACGTGCGCATAGTCGAAATTAGAAAATTGCAACCAGAAACTATTTGATGTGTATTCGTGATATTTATAATGACAAGGAATTTGATTTAAATCATATCAAAGACGAAGTACATCGAGATGAAATACTACATTTAGTAAGGAATTATAAGCCAATTAAAACATCTGCTCTGAAGATGAGGATAGTGCTGACAGATCAACTTCCAGTTAATTGCGTGCCACGACGTTTCTCCCATACATATAAACTTGGTGATAATCTTGAGACCATTTAAATAACAAGGGCCATAATAATGAAATGCCCAGTTTTTCATTAAGCCCCATCATAACGCTTTACATCTCAACCATTCAATAATTATCTACACTTCCATCTTTTTGATAAAGTTGAATGCATTAATTCAACTTTTTCCCCAGTTATTTGTTATACTGCTGATTGGAAAATAAGTACATTAATTTTCACCATAATTTTTTTAAGCTTTTTAGTTAAATTTTAAGTATTCTTAAATATAAGACTCACAAAAAGCTAGAAAGCTACACAAAATGGAAACTCAATCGGTCTCACTTTAAATGGAAGTCATCCAGGTAACACAAAAATACAAATTCCATCAGAAAATACTGTATATGACTGGAGAGAATTAATTCATATTTGGAGAAAAAATTCTGTTAATCAGGAAGTTAATGAAAATAACAGCACTCAAAAGCTCAAGATGGATTTTTTTTTTTTTTTTTGAGATATATTGAAAAACTGAAGCAAAAGTACTGATTACAAAATAGTTGTCCAAAACTGTTAAGTATCAGTTGAACACTTCAGAATAAATCATTGGATGAGAGACTACTAGATTTAAAAAAAAAAAAAAAAAGTTATAAAAATAGAAGACATTGTCTATTTTGTAATGTTATCAACTTTAGCCAAAGAAACAGTATACAGTCAAAAGTCGTTAATCCGGACTCGTCGGGACTTCGGCGATTCCGGATTATAGATCATCAGTTTAAATATGGTAAGATGGCATGCAGAATTACAAAATTTAAATATGAAATCGTAATTTTATTTAAATAAGAACAATATGAACTAAGGGTATCAAATTTACAAAAAGAAAAGCTTAATATATTTGTTTACTTTATTAAACTTTCTTTCATGTAAGTTGTTTAAGTTGCTTCGTTTCATGTAAATACTTTCTCTTTATTCATTAAACAGACATAATTTCTTGTTTAGTTACAAAGTTACACTGTTCAAGTCCTATAATTGCTGTGTCGAGAATACCGACTAATTTGTCAAACGAAATTTTTTCGTTTTCAATAACCTCTGTGTCACTTTCTTCACTATCGGAAGTGAATTATAATGACGAGGAACTTGATTTAAATCATATCAAAGACGGAGTACATCAAGATGAAATACTACATTTAGTAAGGAATTATAAGCCAAATAAAATAAAAATATCTGCCCTGAAGATAAGGACAGTGCTGACAGATCAACTTCCAATTCATTGCGTGTCGCGGCATCCCCCCCCCCTGCCGCAGAGTAGCGTGAAATTGATAAACAGATTTCGGATTTTGAAACATACTTTCGCTCTGTAAATCCTTTACATATTAGTAAATATATATCGAAAATTCTATTTGACATAATCGTAAGTTCAACCTTACTTTTATAAAATCGCTCTAACAGTCTGCAAAAAATAATAAGGCAGATCCAATTCGTAAGTTCAAGCTTACTTTTATAAAATCGCTCTAACAGTCTGCAAAAAATAATAAGGCGGATCCAATTCGAAGATTGAGGAACAACGCAATGTGCAACATTAACTGAATTGGATAACTTTAGCTTAGCTTATACCATCCGTTACACATTAACCGTGCATGTGTAAAGTATTATGCGCATGCGCATATGCATATTCGTAGCCATAAAGGTCTTACGCGCACGGGTTAACGCGACGCATGCGCAGAAAGTTGGTAGCTTTGAGGTCCGGATTATGGGTGTCCGAATTAACGACTTTTGACTGTATTCCAAATTTGAGTTAAAATAACACACAGGATAATGATTGTTGGAGGAGTTACAGCAACAAGAATCATCAAAACGTTCATAAATTTGATTTAGAAAATTTTAAATGTAGTACTTTCTTCTTCAGGTGCAGAAGTTTCCAGCAAAAAAATAATAATAATAATAACCTTGTTTGGAGCTAATCAAATTTGAGTTAAAACAGCATGCCTAGTAATGATTATTGGAAGAGTTAAGGCAACAATAATCAGCATAATATTCATATACTTATAAATTTGCAGGACCAGTTTTTGAAGTTTTTTTACCAACATTTTAAAACTTTGAAATTAATCCTGCAAATTTATGAGTATTATGTTGATTTTTGCTGCTTTAACTCCTCCAGTACTTGATTTCAAAGCAAAATTTTACCAAGTTGGTAAACAGAACACAGAAAAAAAGGGCTGTGTTTCTATTTTGAAATGCTGGAGGAAGCTAGACTCTTTCCTTTCAAATTATTCTTGAAACCACACTGCACCAAAATCACAAAGAAAGTGCTAAGCTCTTGTATCTAGAAAAGTATGATTACAAAGTTATGGCTGCTCATTGTACTGCACTTCCACTATGTACTATTTATTTCCAAACAATCTGTATACTATCTGTATACAATCTGTACTACATAATGTAAGTTTGCTATAAATTTCCAAAGAAGAGTACTATACATATGAAGTAGAAGACAATGAGAAACACTGAGAATAAGCAAATATTAAAAAATAAAGGAATCAAACTAGAAATTTCCGCCCTCCTCCCAATTCAAGCTAAGACTATAAATACTATATTTCACACAAAATGAAATATCCGAAAAAGTTAACACTCACTTCTCCAGAACCTGTCCAAGATCCATGATAAACTCCAAGATTTTTTTTCTCTAACCCTAGTTCTTTTAAAAATGCATATTTAGGCTCTTCGATTAAATAGGAACTTGCATTTACTTTCTGCATAGTTCTGAAAAGGAAGACACGACTTGGTGTAAATTTAACAATGCTTCTGAAAGCAATAAACATAGCTAAAAATTACTTCAGATCAAAAAATGGAGAAATATGCGGGCATACTACTTTTTAACGTGGAGCCGCGCGCAGCTACTTTTAATTAATGTAAACAATAAAGTCGTGCTTTCGCCAAGGCAGGGGAAGAAAAAGCGGAAGAATAATAAATTACATCATAGATCGAGTAGGCATCGCTTATTGCATTAAACTGAGAAGAGATGAGGGACCACTTCATCTCTTAAGGCGAACGATTCTAGTTTCTCAAAATCAGACAGACAAGAAGAAAATTATGATCTGATTAAGTTCACGAACATTCGGAAAGGTCTCTTTAACTCTTTCAACAACTTTCCATTAAGATTGCATCTCGCAGAAAATGCTCATTCATAAAAATTCATTCATTGAGAAAATTTCGTATTTTCCGCTTTCGCCTCAGACGAAAGCAGAAAAATTTATGGAACTTGTATACATTATTTTCCATTTTTACTGTACGATACTGTGTCAAATCTACGATAATGTGTAAAAGATATGCCATTGTGAAAAGATATGCCAAAATTATTAGTTGCTATTATTGCTTATCCAACGAAGACCTTATCTGTGGCCGATATATGGCGTGTACCCTGATCAACGTTTTCTCACTACTGAAGACTTTGCCCTTTTATCACAAGCACACAGGACTTTTCCATTTTATGGAATTTTACGAACTTTTACAGGTCCTTAAGGAATTGATAATCATGTAGTGGTAAAGGCTTTCGGGTCGAACACAGAGTCGTAGCTATTGTTTTCAGCGCCCAGGGACAACTGAAGATTTCGCACCCCCTACTGCTTGCCAAGGATGGAAAACATTTAATTATAAAATGTCGTAACATCAGTTTGGCGCCCCTCGGATTCTGCGCCCAGGGGCAGATGCCCCCCTTGAGCTACGCCCCTGGTCGAACACCACTTAACGAATGATGATCTCCGATCTCCGCCATTAGCTTTAAAAACCATCTTCTTAGTGTAAAATAAATACGAAATTTTCTAAACTGCACCTGAAATTTCATGTGATTTATAACTTGCATAGGGATGTCCCACACTGACGCATTTTGCCATTATAATCCATTTTTTTAATTTCCACAATACCCGGTGCGTAACACAATGCGTAACTTTTGGATTGCCCTATATAATTTTATGAATATCCTCAATTCAAGGACATTTACCACATTGAAAAAAAATTGAGGTGGGACTTTCATAATTTTCCGTTTTGCAAATCGGGTCCCAGGAAAAGTAACAGCCTTCAAAATAGCTATGGAATTTAGCTAATTAAACAAAAATGAAACTAGAAACATAAAAATAAGTACGCATTTTCACTAGAGTAAAAGCCAGTGCTAGTAAAATGTCTGGAAGCGTTGCTCAAAAGTTCATTATTGAGCTGTTCATAATGTTCCTTTCAATAATTTGATTCATACTGCCTCCTAATCTCAACACTCGGAAGGTAACAGTAAGCTGAAATATTTGTAGGAAATTCACTGACTTCATTTTTTCATTAGTGTCCACCCAGAGCTAAATTCCTCACAATTCATGTTAGTTGAAGACATTGATTTTTCTTTTTCAGTGTTCCCTATTTAATCATTTATAACAAAGTTCTCATATTTAAAACATTTCTTTGTTGTCTTTTCTAAGATGCGATTCCAAGACATGATCAGTAAATGCCGAGCATCAAGAAGATTATTTTTCCTACTTCGGACATATTTTCATCTCATTCACATTATAAAGGACTCATATCACGGCAATAACATTCTTTCATCACTGTAATACTCCATTGATCGTATGATTAAATTAAGACTATGTCATTACTGGTAAACATGCAATTTTGGTACTTACGTATTATCCCGTCAACCAACCAAGTAGAGCAATTTACCGCCAGTTAAGGATAATTGCGTCCTTTAGAATTCCACAGTAACAAATGATGATTGGCGAACTTCCCGTGCGTAAGAACCGCAATTCAATGTACTTAAGAGAGACATTTATATTATATGTTGCGCAGTTTTCAGTTAGAAGAAATGCATTATTCTTCAGTTTTTTGCGACATTTTAAATGCATTTACTAAGAATTGCTAACGTCGTTCGCGTCTTGAATTAGGCTATTGGTATATATATAAAGTGGTGCCAGACACCAGGGTACATGGGTATTGTAGCCTTGGCTACTAATGTTTAAAATTAATTTATGACTAGTAACAGCATGAATTATAAACAAATAGCTAAGTTATTGCATTTTATTTTCCAGCTATCGAAATGCGACGCTACGAGCAACGTTTTGAAACCAAAACCTAGCAATCATGAATCAGAACTAGAACTAGTTGCCATTCAGCATAAAGAAATTTAAATATAAATATGAATATTAACAAAATATTAAAGTTAATTTATAAAATAATTAAATATATGAACAAATATATAAAATAAAAAATAATTATTTCTCATGCACTAACTGGGCCCCTACAGTATTACTAACCCTACCTTTCATCGAACAAATTACAGTACAGTTTCGAATATATGTGAATTATAACTGAATGCATTAACGAACATATCTTAAAATGTTGTGGATATACATAATTATCAGGTAATGGTACATAATTTTTAACAGCATATCTCCTAACGGTAACTTAAAGCAATAATCTGGATAGAAAGCCAGTCAAGCACAGAAGCTGTCGAGTGGTAGACCTGGAAAGAAAACATAGACAAACATGGCAAAACAAAAGAGGTAAGTGCGCTACTTAGGCTATTGGTAAACTCTATCTTGCATCACACTGTTCCAATAATCATTTCTAACTCCTTATTTCTCTCTTTCAGTATTCGTCAACGCATTTCGTATGAAACGCAACCTTTCTGCTAAGTCCTTCAAACACTTCAGATGTGGTAGAAAAGATGAGAAAAGTTGTCGAAAATTTTGCTTTCCTTTTTCCGAGATTCTGCTTAACTCTTTTTTAACCTTTATTTTTATTAATAATAGTTATTGTATCCTATTTTGCATTGCATTGTTCTGTTACCTATCTATACACTATGTTTTAGGAGCATGGCTAATTGTTTTCCCCTGAGGCTGAAGATTAAAATATTTTGGTGCAACAAAAGGCGAACTGTCAAGATTGAATTTTTTTTCCAAATTTTTTATTGAATTTTTATTGAATTTTTTTTCCAAATTTTTTAAAATATCCTATTAAGATATCCTGTAAAAAGTATTTTACTTGTATAGTATTTATTTATTTATTCTTGGGTTTTTTTTTCTATCATCAACAATAACAAAAGCGATGGCGGGCGAAACTGATTGTATGTTTTCTTTTTCCTTTCTCAGAGTATTTAACTTTTCTTTATTGATCATTTCATATTAATACCTCTTAGTTTTTGTTTTTGACAGTTTTAATTTGTAACTTATGTAAGTGGTATTAATAGAAATTAAGTTAGGAAAAAATAATTAACAACTGACTTTTTAACTGTCTGTACACGAACTTTAGATAGTTTTTCTTGATCGTTTTGTTTTTCGTGTTTGATCTTGATTTTTTTTAAAATTTAATTTACCGTTAGTCTGTTATTTGTACATACGGCTTAATTTCAAAAATTAAAAGTCGTTTGAACGCCATCTAGAAAGGTAGGTAATAAATTATTAATATTTAAAATTAAACAAGATGTGATATACAGTGGCTCCCAAAAGTATTCGTACACTTATGTTTTTCATTGAAATAGGGCTGTATCCATTAATTAAAAGTAAACTTTCTGAATGAGATTTTAATAATCATATCTATAATCTATTCGGGTGAAAGTTTACAATTGGGTGCCCCTTGTTTATTGGCGATTCTTACTTGACGCCAAGATCGGCGCCAGGAAGTCACAATTTCAAGATGGCCGCTACACAAAACCAAAATAAGAAGTTGAAGAATTGCATAAGATCTGTGTCCATGTACACATCGATCTGTTTTTGCTTAAAAGAGCATCCTAGAATTGCACAAACTAGGCATTGCGCACTGCCTTAAATATGTCCATGTACACATCAATTTATTTTCATTTAAATAAAATCGGGAAGCTAAAACAAAGTTAAAACTATAGTGGTAACCAGAAATGAGGTTTCATCACCAAAATTTTTTTTTAAATCTCGCCAATCGAAGGGGCACCCGATTCTACACTAAAGGCTCTATTCGTAACAAAATTACATGAAATATTTTTAAAATATAGCGAAACTTTATTTTTAAGAAATTAATAATTAAAAAATGATAAACATTTTATCTCACAAAAGTCTTTGTACACTGAAATATTTTTGGATAAAATCAGAATTAGAATTTTCATTTGCCGCTTTTTTTAATTTTTGTATTGTGGCGGCATTCAAAAACTCGTTTGCTTTAATTTTTTATTGTTTACTTCATAATATTCTATTTATTATTGAAAAATGGGTCGCAGTCATAAAGAAATTACAAACAGCATTCAAAAATTGATATTTTTTCACCATAGTAGTGGTAAATCAATTCGAAATATCACTAAATTAGTCGTTAATTTATCCCATTCTACAATGCAGTATGTGATAAAATGCTTTAAAGAAGAAAATTGGATTGAAAACAAGGTAAGAAAAGATCGACCGAGAAAGTTAACTAAACGTGATGAGAGATTTATTATTAGAAAATTTGTGAAAAACCCATGTTTGAGTGCTGTAAAAGTTACTGCAGAATTTAATGCAAAGTTTTCTACTTCAATTTCACCTTAAACTGTTCGACGAGTTCTCAGAGAATCTGGATTATGCTGGAGATGGGCGTTCTGCTTGTAAAAAAAATTTTGTTAATGAGAAAAACAGAAAGCTTAGGCTTTCATTCGCAAAATCAATGATAAATATACCCGAAACATACTGGAATTATATCCTATTTGCTGATGAAAGCAAATTTAACATTTTTGGTTCCGATGGTCGAATAACTGTATGGAGAAGAAAAAATGAGGAACTTCATTGAAAGAACTTAGTTGGAACAGTTAAGCATGGCAGTGGAGGTGTTCTTGTATGGGGAGAGCATGACAGCATCAGGACTAGGTAATTTGGTATTTATTGATGGCATAATGAATCATTCTCTTTATTTAAATATTTTAAGAGACAGTTTAAAATTATCAGCCCAAAATTTCAGTATTGGAAACAACTTTATTTTTAATCATGATAAGGATCCTAAGTATACGGCTCTCAACGTTCGCCTGTAGAGTCTATAATTGTCCACAGGTTTTGAAAACACCACCTTAGTTGGCAGATTTAAACCCCATAGAACACATTTGGAAAGAGCTGGAGGTTAGAGTACGAAAACGTGACATCAAAACAAAAAGCGAACTCAAAACAGCCATGATGGAAGAATGGATGAACATTGATACATAAATTACAAAAAAAAAAAAAAAAAACATAGTAAAATCTATTTCCAGACGTTTAAAAGCTGTTGTGGATGCTATGGGATATCTTACTAATATTAATTCAACGAAAAATGAAAATATTTACTAATATGTCAAGATTTTTTTGAAATGTACAATGACTTTTGTGAGATAAAATGTTTGTCATTTGTTTATTATTAATTTCTTAAAAATAAAGTTTCGCTATATTTAGAAAATATTTCATGTAACTTTGTTACGAATAGATTATAGATCTTATTATTAAAATTTCATTCAGAAAGTTTCAATGAAATTCATTTCCCTATTTCAATGAAAATCATAAATGTACGAACACTTTGGGAGCCTCTGTAATCAACAAATCATAATTTAACTTACCGGAGCTAATGTTTTTTACTGCTGAGGTTGAAATTGCATTTTCTTTTAAAAGTTTAGAAGTATACTATCAACTGTATTTTCTGAACATAAGAACATTTTTACGTAACTTCTTTGATGATATGGGTAATTAATTAATAGTAAACAATATGTACAAGTGATATAGGCTTAGATTATCAGTTTATATGGAGGATGCAAGCTTATTTTCACAAGTGATATGAGTGAAATATTAAAATAATACCGTGTGCTTAATTTTTCTGATGGATGTTTGGATGTATAGATGAAGCATCAGATGTGATACAATTTATTATATTGGAATTATTTATTTTTTTAAAGACTGGATTGTTACCTGTAGTTGATTTTTATAATTTTACTAGACTGTCACTTTTATGTAGGCATGCTATTTCTTTTGTAATGGTTTATTTATTATTTTATTTTATTTTCTATTTGCATATTTTGCAATAGTTATGTTGTTTTCGTATTGTAATTTATTTAAAAATATTAGAATTCAGCTAAACTATTATTTGATTATGAACAATCTGATAAAAGTCCAATAAATCCAGAACTGTTTTTAAAATATTTTGGGAAAAATATATTTCAGGATACCCCTTGACGAAAATTGATGGTTTTTTGGCCTTATTCCTGCTTACATGTAATGCCCTCCCCAGTAAAATTGGCATCAAAAACATATATATACATTAAAACATTAAGATAAAAAATATATAATCTCAATAAACTGCATTTTAAATCAAACAAGGAAATAACACAGGAATGAAAATACATGTTATCTAAATATGCAGTACAAAAGGGAAATATCTACTTACATTATTTAGAAATTTCTGTGTCTTTGGTGTGTGGCAAACAGAATTCCTTAACAGCATCCACAAACTGTCTTAAAATTATCTGAACTAGAATCTGTAGACTGCTGTCACCACATAAATTCACAAAAATAAGAATAAAAAATATACTTCTTAGTTTTGTTCTGTTGGATTCCTTAGTGTTGGACAAAGCCATCTAAATGATCTTTACATTCAACCATATTCATTTCCTTCATACAAACAGGACACTTATAATGATTACTGAATAAACCTTCATTTACACACCAGTCAATTAATGCTTTTTTTTCCCATTCATTCCAAATCATACAGAAATTTCAGATTAATCTTATCACATGTATCCATTTTACGTTGTAAAGCACAAAATAAACATGTACCTCCTAAGCGCATAAAATTAGGGCATAAAATTTAACTGTCTTGTAAACATTCTATGTAATTGTATGCCAGTATTGAAAGAAACAATCAGTCTGATAAGAAAAGGCTGCGACTTGTTTTGAAAATGGAGCATAAAAGGTTACCAGCAAAGATATTCCATTTGGCATCAGTTGTACCATTATTGACGGCTTTATCATTTGCGCCGGCAAAACAGAAAAGTCCTGTTAAATAACAACTTGGCAATAATCCAAGGGGTACCCCAAAATATAGACTACTCAATATTTCTTTAATCAGCTCAGAGTTAAAAATACTTTCTTTATTAAATAAAGAATTTGTGCAAATCAGCAAGATGAGCATGTATTTATCATTCCTTCATGATCTTGAAAAATTAGATAAGAACTCATTAAGATAAAAATGCTTTAATGCAAATAACAAATAAAGGTACAATAAATTGATATTAATTCTGAAAAGAAAGAATGGTGCTTGTTTAATGATCTTTTGTCATGCCATGTTGTTTGCTGGGTAAAAATATATTTCAGGTGACCCTTGGTGAAAATTGGCAGTACATGGATACAGAGTTTGTGCAGTTCTTTGACTTGTTATTTTGAATTTGTGCGCCGCTACACGAAGACAAAATAACAAGTCAAAGAATTGCACAAACTCGGTATCCATGTACACTTCAACCTATTTTTTAAAGAAACATCAGAGAATTGTACAAACTTGGCATTGTGTACTTCTTTGACTTTATCCGTGTACTCATCAACCTATTTTCACTTCAAAAAACATCACAGAATTGCACAAACTTGGTATCGCGCACTCCTTTGACTTTGTCCATGTATACAGCGATCTACACTGCAGGCCACCGTAAATGCAACACCCTGAAGGAAGCATGCAAATAACATGAAATTTACAACATACATTGGCGGAGGTGACATATGCAAATGATTAGAATTTCAGCGCAGACGGCACCTGTGGCACCACTTCAAAGCACTATTTAAGGCTTGGGGGTTTTTGACAATTTCAAGTTAGGCAATTGTGTTTTTCTCATGGTTTAAAAAAATGATCAATTATGCCTCGTAGTGAACAGCGATCATCGTTTGATCAGGTATCCGAGTTCGACAGAGGAAGTACAGTGGCCTACCGAGAGTGTGGATTATCTTTCAGGGAAATTGGTAGTTGTGTTGGACGAAACCCAACTGTAATACGGATACGTGACCGTTGGATGGAGGGTACGACAGACCGACGTGTTCGATCGCATCCAACTCAGTACACCACTTCACGTGATGACAGGAACATTGTGAGCATGGCAGTGATGGATTGCTCAGTCACATCACAAACCAT